CCAACTAGGAGATACCCCTCTAAAAATTAACATCCTTCCAAACATTAACTTGATTGACTTCGCTGCTTAACGTCCGATCTGCATACAAACTTCAGGTATGTAATATTGCCTACAAATGTGATATACCCTAACTTTTAAAATAAGATCGAATCCTTATGGTACATCTAGTTCTTAGAACCTTCAAGTATTGCTTAATAAGCCATGTCTTAGCATCGATATTTATCGATAATATCTAAAAACGATGCCCTTAAATCGATCTTTATCGATATTATGAATATAGAAAAACAAGTCGAACGAAATGATTAGCTGATCTAAATATGGTTAAGGTATTTTTCACAAATTTCATGGCTCTCTAGCTCTCTAACCCAAGTCTAGCTCGACTCAGCTCCTCATCCTGATCAAGAATATCGCATCGAGGAAGCTCTCTTCTGCCTGTCACAAACAATTGCACAAAAACATAATACCCTATTTAGATATTTGAAATAGGTTCAGGGTATAAAAAGCAACCACAACTGGTAACCTGGCCATAGACGCGCCGGTGCCGTTGACCAATGTGACTTAAGCTGCAGCCGAAGCTGTGGCAGATGCTGTGGCAGAGGCTGTGGCAGAGTCTCGGGCGGAGGCTAAGGCGCTCGGCGCTCTGTACGTTGTCCACAGCAGACGACCTCAAGTGTTGGCAACAATCGCGTTTGCCTGCTGCACGCTTGGCCGCAATACCCGCACTTAAGTGCAGCAGCAACTGGCTGCAACTGCAACATCAGCAGCAGCAGCAACTGCGGCAGCAAACTGCGGCAGCAGAAGCAGTTCAAGTTTGCGCCGAGGAATTCCTTGCCGCTGAAATAATTAAGCATTGCAACATTGTTTATTGTTGTTGCTGTTGTTGTTGGGGTGTTGCAGGCTCGTTTAACAAGGCAGTCATCTTAACAAGTGCCTCGCCGAGCTGTTCTACAACTTTTTTGCGCTTGTCTGCATTTTGTTGCAATTTTTTGCCTTCTTCTTTTTTGTTGCTGTCGCTGTTGCTGTTGTTGTGGTTGTTGTTGTTTTTCCTTTTGCCCAGGAATTTCCATTTTATTTACATTTAAAAAAAATGTGACGAACGCAACGGCTTTCGATTTGGCCCATTTGCATAGCTGCATCGCCAGCAACAGCAACAGCAATAATGTTGTTAGCAACAATGTTGACGGCAACAAAATGAATCGAATCTTTGTTGTTGCTTATTTTGTTAACACATATCACACAAGTGAAAAAAACGAAATGATTTTTTCTGTGACTTGCTGCTGATTATGAAAACGCACAGGTTATAAGCCTGGCATCAAAATGTATAATGCCAGCATAATAATTTAATTAAAGCAAAAAGTTGTTTTTCCGCTTTGTTTGTTTGTCTACGCGCTGCGCCTGACGCCCGACGCCTGCTGACTGCGTGTGGAAGGCAAAGCAGCTCATAAAAATTAATAAAAAATAAAAACACACAGACAAAATAATATTAAAATAAAATAAATGTATATATAGAAGAAGCAAAAATTTAAAACGTTTTTGCCTTCGCCTCAGTTATGAGCTTTGCTTCAGTTATATGCACATATATCGATATATATATACATATATTGATATGTGTTTAGTGAGCTCTGAAAATTGCATAATTATATGGTGTCAGCTCCAGGGGCCCATGGCTGAGCAGCACTTCCTCGCCCCCCGGAAGCGTTGCTCATTTATTTTCAATTTTTTATTGTATTTTTTTTTTTCATGGTCTGTCCGGAAATGCAGGCAGCCAATGCGTGAAAGTGTTGCAAAGTCTAGTTGTTGCTGCAGCTGCAATCACGATTTGTTGCTGTTGCTGTTGCCGTTGCTGCTGTCAACAGCTTACAACAACACAAAACTTTTCCATAACCTCAAAAAAAAAAAAATAAAAAAACAAAACAAAAAAGTGTCGGCTATTTTTATAATGCGCAATCTTCGCTGCGTACGCCGCCAGCTGTGTGCCATGCAGCCAAGCCATCGCCACCGCCTCGCCTCCCTCGCCTAGCCCACCTGCCGCCCATATAGACAGCATCTTCGCTGACCAACCCTCCCCGTTCCAAGTTAGGCCCCCCTCCTCCCACAGCCTGATGCGAAACACCACTCACAATGTGTTGTCTGCGTTTATTGATTTATTAGAAAATTCCAATGAACAAGTTTTAATACACGACGACGTCGACGTCGACGTCCACGTTCATCGTTGTTGCTGTTGTTGTTGTTGCTGTTGTTGTTGTAGCTGCTGTGGCAAAAACAATATATAGGAAAGAGCATGCCAAGACAGCAGCAGCAGCAGCAGCGGCAGCAGCGGCAGCAACACACAGAACTGAGTCGGCAACTGGCAAAAGTAACAAGTGCAATATTTTAATTACGCTACCAGCAGCAGCAACAACAACAACAGCAGCAGCAACAACAACAGCAACAGCCACTGGCAACATGCTGCTTTAATTTGGTTAGCAGCGTTGCCAGACTGTCAACAAATATTGTCTGTTAACGCGGCGTATGCGCAATGTGCTCTAAAATTGACTAGAGACATCCGTTTTTAGCTAGTTGGTAGAAATATTTATATATTATTTATGCAAGATAAAAACTATAAAAATACAAATATTTAATAAAAATTAGTCCTTTAAAGTAGTTTAATAAATCAATATTACATAAAATGATCAAGATTTTTATAAAATATGTTTTTATTAACTTAGTTCATTTACATTAAAAATATATTTTATAAACTCTTTCTTTATCATTTTTATTATTTATTTATTCATTATTTTCATTTTTTATGATTGGTTTTTTAAACGGCTTTAAAGGACTCTGACTCTAAGCTAATTTATACAAATTATTTTTGCATTTTTATGGTTGTTATCTTGAATATATAAATTATTTATAAATACTTTTACAACTAACTAAAAGCGGATTCCTCTCTATTTTGTTTAATTGTTAAACAATTGAAAAATTTCGTAAAATCTGGTTCTTAGATCTATATTAGAATGTTGGCCAAGAAACCAACATTTCAAAAGGGAATACTTTTATATGATAGTTCAATGATCAGTGTTCAATGCGTGGAATGTGTCTTAGTATTTGCAGATTGGTTGAGTACCCAAAGGCAAGGGCTTTGTTTATTTTATTAGCTAAATTGTTTATACTTTGCTTTAGCATCTTAACCTTGCTGAACAATAAGGGTATTAAAATTTATTATTAAGTCTTATATGTAGTTATATTGCCCGATTTAAGCTTTTATCTATCCAAGCAATTTTGGTAGATCGATGAGCCAATCCTGCGAAGTCTCCGTCGAGGGGTATTGTGACCAAAGAAGTGCTGACTTTTTATGAATATTATTTTAAATATATTCTATGAACAGTTGATAGAAGTTTTAAATACTTTTTACTTATGACAACGTAATAGGTTCAGTTCCATGAGTTGAAAGTAACTTTAAATTTGATACATTTCCAACACTTAGTTGCTTGCCAACACTTGTCATCAATTTGCTTCAAAATCAGTCTGGCAACGCTGTCGTATCAATTCACATGGCGTATAATGAATACGCTCAGAGTCTTAAACATTTTGCAATCAATTTAGATTTACATTTGCTGCAGTTCGATGTGAATGCAGAGTACAACCAGTTGAGATGCCGATTTCGGTAACCAAATCAACAGCAACCCCAACAACAACAACAACAACAACAACAACAACAACAAGAAGAAGAAGACTGATCTTGCAGCCGGAGAGGCCGCAAAGAAAGTCGCGCAGCTGAGCTCCGAGCTGAGCTGAGAGAGTTGAATATTTGTAATTGTCTGACTGGACAGTCGGGCTTGTTTGTTTGTTTATTGTTGCTTTTTGGGCTTGATTAATAATTAATCGCACTGGCACACACGCACGCACACACAGGCGCACACACACTCAGGCACACACATGCAAATCGCTGCTTGATTTTAATTACTCAACTTAAATGGCGCTTGAGCTTGAGCGACTTAAGCAACTTGTGCGCCAGCGTGTGTGTGTGTGCGCCAGTCTGTGTGTGTGTGTGCCTGTATGTATGTGTGTGTGTGAGTGTTGATCGACTCTCACTACTACGCGCTCAAACTAAGTAACTAACTAGCTCGCCACAGCTGCTGCCGCCGCCGCCGCTGCTGCTGCTGCTAGTGCTACTGCTGCTGCTGCTGCTGCTGCGACTGTGACTGCGGCTGTGGCTCCGCTGTGCCGCCTGTTTGTCTTGCCCGGCCGCTTTGGACGCTCATTCAGTTTTTTGCGCTCAGCGCTCGTTGTACGGAACCGAAAGATTCGTCGTTGTCGCCAACGTTGTAGCTCCACCAAAAATACAAAAAAAAAAATATATGTACATATATAAAAAAATGTAAAATAAAATAAAAAACAACATTAAAAATTTACAAGCCAAGGCATTACAACAACAACAACAACAACAACAACAACAACAGCGGCTGCTTGTCATAACTTGATCTAACTCGTTAAGACAGGGCCCAGCACATAAATCTGCATATCTAGCCCAATTTATATATAAGTACATATACATATATTTATATATACATGTATGTATATATATTTCTTTTTCGGCTGTTGTTTTTAGTTATATTTCGCGGTTTTTGCGTGCTGTAAAAAAAGTTAAAGCTGTGCAGCAGCCACAGCAGCAACAACAACAACAACAACAACAGTAACAACAACAACAGCAGCTATCGGAGATAGCAGCTGAGCTCAAGAACAGTAAACAGCTTCAAGACTCGAATCGAAACGCTCCGCTTCGCTCCGCACCGCCTCGCCGCTCGCCTCGTCGCGCCGCGCCGCGACTCACCCGCGTCCCGCTGTGCGTCTCTCAACTCTCAACTTGTCGCGTCTCCAGCGATTGTTCCGCGATTGTTGACGTCGCCCAATGCCGATACCGATACCAATACGATTTCTATATAGCAGCAGTGAGTGTGCGTGTGTGAGTGTGTGTGTGTGTGTGTTTGTGTGTGTGCTGTCTGCGTGTGTGTGTGCGTATGTGCGTAATCGGCAATAAGCCATAAGCCAAAAGCCCAGTAGCCAAAGCCATTGGCCAACATGTGAAGTGCAAGTGATTTGTTCCGCCATAATATATATTTTCAGCATATATATGTGTATATATGTATCTGGAGCAGTCGGCGTATATATCGATACATAAGTATATATGCATGTGCGTGTATATAAATATAATGAATGCAACGTTCGTGAATTGCCAAAATTGGTTGTTGTTGCATTTGCAGCCAAAGGATTTGTGGATTTTAAAACGTATTTAAGCCGTGCAGCAGGTGCACAAGGTAAGCCAGCTAAAACCTATAAATACTATATACTATAGACAAAATAATATATATGTAAATAAATATATAGACCTGTATGCTTGACATGTATCTAGTGGTTTCTATTTGGCAGTATACTGAATAATGCGCATACGACATGGTGTCTGCGTGTCGAATTTTGCATTAGCCTAACACGTTGAGCGAATTATTCTTGTCATTTATTTTATTAAAACAGCTGTTAGAAAGTTTCAGAACGTTCTATGTTCGTTCTTTGAGTAGTTGGCCATTACAAAATGATTGATATAATGATATTGATAGATATTTGTATTGGAATTTTCTTAAATATAAAGTATTATCTTTATTATCATCATAATCATTGATGATTGATGATGATGGCAAAATGATAATTATCAATAGCTATGAAATTATTTTCATTATAATCAATTTTTCATTTAAATGTAGATTTTTCAAGATTAAATTGGTTTTTTATTCATATTTTGCTAAGCAACTAATGGGGTTTGAGGATGCGTTTAGGTCGTCGGTTCTCTGTTATTATAATACGATTTCCTTGCGGCTTATACTGAATATAAGAATTAAGGACTTTTTATTTGCGCTGGGTGCTACTGTCTTGAGATTACGGAACCTTCTTGTTTTCTCTGCAGAAAAGCACCCTATATTATATACATATATACACATGTACAAGAATTCTATGTCCAATTGTTATACGGACCCGAATTTTAAGCAACCGAGAATATTTATTTACAAAAAAGGATTTCTTTAATATTTGTGTATAAAAGATCAATTTTAAATTTTAGAAAAAAGTTTTATTTTTCTCTAGACTTTAATATATATTAAATATTATTTATATATATATTTGATGTATTTATACTATACTAGCCTTAAAAATATATTTACTAATATTTAAGTCTAGTTAAAAATTCATCCTGCTTCTAAAAGTTTTTATAAAAACTAGGATGATTCTTAACATATAAAATGATTGCTGTGCTTGAAATTAAATAGAAAAAACTCAAAGAAATAACAAAAACAGAAGAAAACTTACATTAATAAAAGAAAAATAATTTAAAAAATATTATAAAAACGTGTAAGTTTTCGTAATATCTCTGTATTCTTCAAAAACCTTCTAAACATTCTATGCCTTACATATATAAACATCTGATAACATTAAATAATGCGAATCGAATGTTCCAAATCCCATAAAGTATTTCGCCTTTTTGCATATATGGTAGACTTTAAATACCTTCCTGTAGACAAAGGGAATACGTTCGCTGTAAACTTGAAAATCCCAACTAGTTAATAAAGACTTTAATTAAATTGTGATTAGAATGCAGAAATAAAGGGGTATTTTTTTTGTTTGTAATAGTTTTAGAATCAATTTTATAAACGCACTGCATATTCATAAAGTCAAATGACGAATTTAAATCAAACGACATTCCGCAATTAGCAATTGACACCGACATTGGTAGTAACTGGGGCTGGCGATGGCGCTGGGGAGTAGGTAATGATCGGCCCTAGACGATATGCCATATAATATTAATGGTCGTAGAGTTGTTAATTTATGACGCCATTTGGTTAATTGAATAATTGCATGTGACTGGTTGGCTTTGGGCGTGTTATTGGTTATTGTAATCGTTATAGTTATGGATATGCCAACGCCTCGAGGCCTCGACTGCCATTGCATAAGCCAAGAGCCATAAGCCATAAGCCGTAAGCCGTAAGCCATAAGCCATGCTCCACATTTGTCGACAAACTGTGTGAATCTGTTGCCCTATCATATTACCCGATATTTGCCATGCTAATCACTGAACGCCTTTGACATTTATGAAGTGCTTCCCTGTCCATATCAAAGCTCTGGCATTATGAATATGCTGTTCGGAGAACAAGCCAAATGGATTGTTTGTTTGTTTGTTTGCCCGCAAAACTTTGATTGTTTGGCCACAAAAGACAACAGCGAAGCTGCGTAGCTGCTCGATTTAGAAACTCGTTGGCTTAGGTGTGAAATTGATAGCCACAAATGAAGCGGGGCCCCACAAACCTGATAACAAACTAAGCAGCAACAACAAGTGGCAAGCATCAGCAGCAGCGGCAGCAACAACAACGAAGGTCTTCCACTTTCTGAAATTCGACAGAGAGAAATAATAACAACAACAAATTAACCAACGAGCAGGAACAGCCAACTTCGGCACGCCGAACATGCAATACCCTTGAGGGCAAGTGACAAGTGAAGCTCGTCGAGGATGAAATACCCTTGAGCACAAGTAGATATTTAAGGAGCAGGATATCTGGAAGCACAGAAGAGTGGGCCACGAACAACTCTATTCTCTACGTATTCTTTCCCTTAAGCTGATTAATTGTGACTTATGATTTGGTAGTTTGCCATGATAAGATTTAGCTCCAATTAAAGGAGGATGGTAAAGCTCGTAGACGTCAAATATTGATCAAGTTAATTGGTAAAACTAAAAAAAAAATTTTCTATCAAATAATATATCTTTCTTACTTTCGTTCCTATGTCAGCTATATGCCATATAGAGGTCCAATCTGGCCGATATGTGTCGTTTCTTAAAGCTAGCTTTAAGATTAGGACAACAGTTTCCATAGAAACAAGCAGCCGATAAATAATATGAGTATGTTTATGTGTTGCGCAGCTGTCACAGCTGTGTAACATATTGCGTGTCCAAGTTATAATACCTTTTGCAAGGGTATAGCGCAAATTGTGAACAGCCGCTGCGAAGCGGGTTCGGTGGTTTCTCGCTCTGAATTGTGGCTCGAAATGTTGATGTGGCTCTGCGGCCAGGCAAATCACAAGGCGACGCTGCTGCTGCGCCGCCGCCGCTGCTGCCGCCTCTGATAACAACAAGCCAGCAATGCGGCAATAATTTGCTGCAGCTGTAAGTGGCTACTGGTCATCAACAGCAGCAGCAGAGGCAGCAGCAGAGGCAGAGGCAGCAGCAGCAGCAGCAACAGGCTTAGGCCAGTGCAACATTTTATCAAAAGTGGTGGCATTAGCTGCCGCACCACATGCCTTCCCCCCACGCGCTTGCTTTGCAAAGCAAACTGGTCACACTGGGCGCACACACACACACACACAGACGCACACAGCCACACTTGGCCGAGAGGCAGGCGCACAGCGGCAGCAGCTTCCAATAGTTTCACTTATTTTACACACATTTTCTTAACGATAAATAAATTCCACAAGCAGATGCGGCTCCTGCGCTGTGTGCAACATTCAGGCCGAACCTGGCCTGGTCAACAGCAACAACAACAACAACAACTTTTGCTATCACGTTTTCATGCAAAAATTTTAGTTGCATGCCGCATGTACTTGAATTATACAAAAGGCAGGATTGCTTTGATAGGTTTGACAGGGCGCCTGCAGAGGCGGGGGCGTGATCGTTGCCACTCAGCTGCGCTTTGGGGCAGCTATGCTCCACATAGATTATGGACTTTACCCCTGGCCAATTGGCAATTGGTAATATTTACTCAGCTGGCGCCATTTCAAGCCGAAAGTGTTGAGCAAATGTGTGTTGGATAAAACGTGACACGATTAACAGTTATAGAAATTATCGAAACTAATAACAGGGTGGCAACTCTTCAACTTGAGCAGCAACTGGCACAATTGGGTCAGTGTTGATAGAGTTATGTGCGTAAAGTGTTGGGCAATTGTTTAAGAAATATCTATATCAATGAATGATTCACTCGGATGAGTCATTTGTGCGGCTCGTGCATATAAAGCATATCTCTTATATTTAAGCGACCTTCTACTTATAATTAAATAACATCGCAAATAAATGCAAAATTTACACTTGCAAAGCTTATATAATCTTTGAGAGGTCGTTGTTAAGCCAGCTGAGTGGAAGCCTTTTGTTTAGAAGACATTTAGCTGAAAACAATGGACATTGAATTCTTTTAAGCAGCTGATAAAGTTGCACAGATGCTTTCATTTATTCAGAACTTGATTAAAATTGATATATTTATATAGCAAAAAAGTGTATAGCTATTATTGAAATTGACAATTCTCTGTATGTTTTGGATATAAATACTCAAACATGTGACTTGAGGGATGTCTGTCATATATCTTTCAGCATTTTCTTTTAAGAATATATCTACATAATTAAGCAGCCGATCTGATTCTGGTAATATATATTAAGTCTTTATAATCGTTGTAGATGTCAAAGAAAACTGTAGCTGACCTCCGTCAAAAATAATTAATTAATTAAACAGAGGATATTCCAAGTGAAGCTTAGTTACTCACTTACCTTTGACTTCCTAAGGTTAGAAGGGTCAACCTAAGCCCTCTTGCTAGCGTATTCAGATATATAAGGAAACTGTTTCAGATCTGTTCAAAAAACTATAGCCTTAAATCAGTAAATCGTCGATTTATACTGTGGAGAAACGTTGTAACTAAACAGAGAATATTCCAAGTTAGCTTAAACTTTCCAAAATCTAGCTTAGGAATCTAAATGGAATACTAAGTTACTAAGCCACGTAATACTCGTTTATGATAAAACTGTGGCGGCTCTAACGGTGCCATTCTTCTAACTAGCTAATACAATCTCCGATTTCAAACCTCAACCTCAAGCTGATGTAGCTGAGCAAGCGAATGGCCTTCGAGTGCTCCACTCGCGTTGTCGTTTTCCTGTCGCCTGTTTATCAGTTAAAACCATATATATATATAGATATATATACTATAAATAAGTAGTACGAACTACGCTGAACTAAATTCAGCCAAACACAGGCGAAGAAAGAAATGTGGAGTGTAGAGTGTGAGCGGCGAGTGGGGCCAGGCGGGGCATTGGAAACTTTGAGGGTCCATTGTGGAGGCTGCTGTGCTGATTAAATGTCGCCTGCTTTTAACTATTATGTACAAAGAGCAAAAGCAAGAGCTAGAGTGTGTGTGTGTGTGTGTGTGGTAGAGAGAGAGAGACGCAGATTTGCTGGGTCTGTTGCTTTTATCGTTTTGCTGTTGTTTTCATAAAGCGAATTTCAAGTTCGTTATATCGAAATCGCAGCCAACAGCTGATTTTGGCTGAGCTATTGTTGTTGTTGTTGTTGTTGTTGGCGAGCAAACAAACAAAATATTTGTGTGCAGCAGCTGCTGGCAGCGACTTTTAGTGTAGACTGTGTGAAGTATAACAGTAAATGTAAATTCTGTCTCCATTTGAAGCTTATCGAAATGAACGCGCGCGCAAAAATAACGCATAAATAAATAATTAATAAAGCAAACGATGTGTGTGCGTGTGTGTGTGTGTGTGTGTGTGTGTTTGTGTGCGTGTTTGTGTGCGTGTGTTTGTGTGAGTGCCAAGTGATTTGAACTTTGAAGGCAAGACAAGTTGAGTTTGAGTTATGAATTTATCTAAAATCGCAGCATGTTGTCGCTATCGTTGTTGTTGTTATTGTTGTTGTTGCCATTGCCCTGGCCATTTGACAAGTGGTTTGGCCCAAGTGTCAGACGTGATAAATCATATATAATAAATCTATATACATATGTACATATATGTCAATCTGCATATCTTTATAAATTCTGTTCAAGAGAAATGGCGCAAGAAAAGCAACGCCCAACTGACCCAAAACTGTCTCAAGTTCATATACAATATCAAGTATACGCAGCGTGTGCGCCAAAGTTAATTCATTTCGATTTATATTTATTTTTATAATTATATGTGTATTTATATTAACTAAAATAACTTGTGTGACCAGCTTTTGGTGCTGTTCTTAGCCACTTAGTAACTGATATTAAATATATACATGTATAAATATATATTTTATATTATTTGCTGGCAAACACAATCTGTCACCTTGAGTCGAGTTCATTCATCCGCAGCTTGTGAAAATTTTAACACATCATTTTAGCTATTAAATGCAGAAAAAAAAACACTTCAAATGACGTTTAAATCAGGTTTTATAACTGTTATAAATTATGAAAGTATATTTTCAAATTTAAAATATTAATTATTATACAAGCCGTGCCCGAAACAGAAGAAGCTTGAAAGACATATTTTTGCTTCAATTTATACCGAAATAGTTTTTATTTAGAAATCTAAAGTTCCGGTTTGTGTATAAATGTTATTAAATTGAATAATATTAAAATATTATTAATACAAAAGTATGCAAAAATAAATAGGTTATTTTTAGAAATTGAAAATTCCGGCTTGTTTTTAAATATTTCGGCATTTGTTTGTACTATGTTGCATTTGTGTTAAATTTTTTGATTATTTTAATTGAAACTTATTTGCGACTCTTGAAGAATTAAACATATTATACATTAGTATATATTCATATACATAGAGAGAGATCTCCTTCCTTAGATATCTGATCTTCTCGTTCCACCAGTAGCAGGGTGTTCCTCTTATGTTGCTTAAGTATATGATTTAATATAAATATATTGGAATATATATTTATACAAGCAAATTTAAATATATTTCAAAATAGGTAAAGGTTGAAATAAATTTAAACATATATAAATATCTATTGCGTATTTAACTCTAAAAATAGCACATTTTATTAAAATTCTTGACATTACATCAACACCTTCCAATCAAAACCAACACCTGATCTCGTCAATTAGCACTCAGCCAAAAGAAGCTATAATAAATAAAAAAAAAAAAAAAAACAATAATAATAATAAAAGAAAAACGCGCTCGTATATTAGATTACAAGAGATCGACAAAGTTGACTTTGAAAACACGTTTCCAAGCAATATGCTTGAGTTGTTGTAGTTGTTTTATTGTTGTTGTTGTTGTTGTTGTAAGAGACAGCATCACAGTTACAAACTTAACCTTAAAAGTTGGTTAGACACGCCGGTTTGAACCACTTTGGGTTGGATTTAAAAAGAGTTGAAACCAGGCTTTGAAAAAATGTAAAAAATCCGCAGCGCAGTGGTTGACGATGCGACCACAGAAACTGAAAACGACATTTTCAAGGAAGCAAACAAAACATTAACAAATATGGGCATAAATAACTATTATTAAGCTGAAAGTCCAGGAAATTTACATGTGGAAATAACAACTATGTTAAGTATGGGCACGCTTAAGTATATAAGTTGGAGTATAAAACGGCACTTGAATTTTATTGTTGTAATTATCATAATTACAATGGAGGCAGCCAAAGCGCTCGCTCTCTCTCGCTCTCTCTCTCTCCAGCTTTAAGTGTGCGTGTGTGTGTGTTTTTGTGTGCGTGACAAGTCAACATCCTTTCGGTGCATTCACTCATGCCAGAGAGCCGCAGTGCTCTAAAACGTTCCATTTTCGTTGATGCAAATCGCTTATCAAGACAAGAAAGTGCCACGCAGCGAGTGTGTGTTTGTGTGTGTATACGTGTGTGTGAGTGACTAACTTAGTGACACACGTTGCAGCCACACAGCTACAGCTACAGCTGGCTATCACTGCGGCTGACTTCAGTTCAGTATAATGCAGCAGCCGCAGCAGCCGCAATGGCAGCGCCAGCCGCGCCGTCTCCCGCCGGCGAAGCTCAAGCTGAAGCAGAGGCAGAAGAAGAAGAAGAAGTAACTGCAACGCTGCCCCTGATAAGATGCCGATGCCAGCGTCGCTGTCGTTGCAAAAGGTCTTCTTTGTTGCCCAGTGAGAAGTTAAACAAAAACAAAAAAAAAACAGCACGAGGTTTGCCGAGGCGGCGCCGCTTGCAGCAGCAATTTACAATAACAACAACAACAGCTACGACCACTATGCATATAACAACAACAGCAACAACAACAACAACAAGAACAACAGCAACGAGCGTCATCGACAACGACAACGACTACTCCACAACAACGAGCGGGGCGACGTTGATTGCCCCGGAATGCCGTCAAACAGGTTAAAAATGTAGGTAGAAATTCAATTAAAAATTGGTTATTTATTTATTTAGCTTGCAACGAGTAGAGCGCTGCCAACCGCCCCGCCCAACTCTACCCCACTCTGGGGGGGGTGGGGGATTGAAACCACGCTCCCCACCCCTGCGTTCGTAGCCCAGCTACCCCGTGCAGGCAGTATAATCTAACTAATTTAATTAAATTTCATTTATGTGTCGCCTGTCAAACAAAACTCGAAACTCACGACTGTCAATCAAATTGAACCAGTGCGCGAATTTGAAAGTGAAAACTTCCACACACACTCGCACACACACACACACACACGCACACCTCGCACCTGCCACTGCCCCGTGCCGAACTGCACAGCATGTGCTCAACTTTAACTGCAAATATAAATATGCATATGTGTATGGAGGAGTCTTGAATAAATGCCAGCAGCTACTTAGTTAAGGTGCAACTGCAGTCAACAGTACGTTTGCAAAGAAATTGCAATAAAAACTAATGTGGCAGCAAATTTGCATGGAAATCAATCAAAAAGTTCGCAGACTGCGAGCAAAGTCGAACCGCGCATACCCTGCAATCAAAATATATTTAATAAAAACCAATTAAACGTTTATTGCACGTTTGCAGTTTGCAGTTCTAACAGTCTGTTAAATTGTTTACATCTGGTTATCATAAACACTGCCAGCAGAGGCAGCTTAACATAACTAGCAAATGTTAACAGCAACAGCATTACATAAAGATGTTAACAAATGGTTAACACTTACTGAAAATAAAGCTGTTAACAGATTGTGTTAAATATGAACAGTGTTTTGTATATTTACTAGCGGGTATTGCCCGGCCTTGGCAGTGGAAAATTAAATCTACCCATTTTGATCTCTACTTCTATTTAAAAATATGTTTTCAGTTCATTGAATAAAGAACCAAGTGTTGGCATCAACGGTTTCCGCCAATGTTAGCCTTGCAGTGAGAATTTTGAAGCTGAAAACTTTTGACTCGCATTTGCCACCCAAGAACATATCAAATAAATTCTCACAAAGATTTTTGAAAATGATTTTGAAGCCGATCTTGAAAATTATTTTGAAAACTTTCTAACAACCGTTTTTCGCTTGTGGGTGGAATTTCCCAAATCGGTGAAACACGTTCATTAAGTTCTTATCTAGAGCTTTGAAAATAAGTTTGAGGCAAAGCGGGAAAAACTTAAAACTTAGCCCAACAAATTTTTGAATCGCATTTTCGACCGAGGAAGCTTGGATTCTGCGGAAAGTATGAAACACGTCGCAATTGATTTTTCGTATAGATCTTTGGAAATACATTTAAACACGAAACGTCACCCACCAAATCCTTGATCCCCAATTTCCACCAAGGAGGAATGCATTTTTCGAAAAATGTGAAGCACCCTCAAAATGAATTTGAACAAAGATCTTTGAAAATGTGTTTGAGGCCGATCGGAAGGTAAACAAGAAAAGTTGCATACAAACGATATTCGCGATTTTTCCACAAATGGAGATTTGAAGGTACAACTTTTACATGAATTTCGACCAAGAATAATGTTCCCAGATTTAGATGCTTAATTGATCTAGAGGCCAAGCCATGAGCAGAGAGCAATAAATAAAGTATAGATTCTATAAAAATCTTATAATAGTGAGCGTATATAGAACAAAAAATAAGTAAAAAAACAAGGTGTGAATGTGTATATATGTATGTGTGTGTGTGTGTTAGTGTATGCATGCCTGTATGTATGAATATATGTACGCATGCATGTTTGTTTCCTAATACCAAGCTTATTTGTCCCTGCGCTGCAAATTTAAATAAAACGATTTTCTACCAAGTGCCCTACTCCTCGATTCTCAAGAATTCAAGTAGGCTCTGCAGGTTTTCATGCTTAGATAGTAGTGTAGTGTTTTTTTTTTTTTGTGTTGTTGATATGTATGTGTGTATGTATGTATCTATATATGTATGTATGTATGTATGTATGTATGTATGTATGTATGTATGTATGTATGTATGTATATATGTATGTATGTATGTATGTATGTATGTATGTATGTATGTATGTATGTATGTATGTATGTATGTGTGTATGTATTTATCTGGAAATTCATTCATACATGCATGTTGGCATGTTTGCATATATTAAAACCAAACTAGCATACATTTATGTACAAACCGGTATACATATGCAAACTTAAAAAATCGCACAAAAAGTTTTCAATCGCATTTCTACCGAGGAAGCTTTGATATTGTGAAAAATGTAAAACACATCTCAAAAAATTGTTCACATAGATCCTAGGAAATAAATTTGAGCGCGAGAAGTCACTCACCAAATCTTTGCCTTCATTTACACCATGAAGGTATGGATTTTCTAAAAACTGCCAAACACCCATCAGACGAATCTTGACAAAGATCTTTGAAAATGTTTTTGAAGCCGATCGAATGGTAAGTGAAAAACTTATTACAAACGTTTCTCGCTAATTAAACACTGTTGCGGGTGATACTTCCCAAATCGCTGAAACACGTATTCAATAAGTTCTTATGAAAAGCTTTAAAAATAAGTTTTTAAATAAATCGGATAAAACTTAAAACTTATCCCAACAAATTTTTGAGTCGCATTTTCCACCGAGGAAGCTTGGATTCTGCGAAATTTTATAAATATTGCGATTGATAGGGGAACTTTAAAGGCATATAACAAACTGCTTTTAAAATTGGTAGCTGAACAAACTAGTTGATAGAGCCAATATACTTTGTCGACTCGATTATAAGTAAACACAGAAACACTTGCACCAGTTGAATCTGATTGCGTTTGCTTTTATTTATGCACATTTTGCTGGTGAACCGCAAAAAGTTAATTTTAGCATTGCTATAAATAAAATACCTTAGCGTCCCACTAACAAATGATCAAGCGAGCGAGCGAGCCATATACGATACGATACGTAAGCCCAGATATAGTTACCACCCAGACCCCAACTGACTGGCCGTAACTGGTTGCATTACTCGCTCGCGCCGTCTCGCTCTCACACAGCGCCAGCTGTCTCTCTTGCTCTCTGTTATTGATTTGATGGATCGTTGCAATTTGCGGCCGTGACATGCATGATAAAGATACTAATACGATCGATTTGAAGATCAGCTAAAGCTGCTGCCGTTCAGCTGAAAGCTGCCCAGCCAACTTCTGCATCTGGGTGCCGAACCTCATTCCATAAACTGAAACTAAACTGGCAACAAAAATATATATATATAAAAATAATAAAATAAAAATTCCTTCTTCACTTGAAACATTCGATGCGCGCGCGTGTTTACCCATTTGCATAGTGGGGCCTATTATATTATGGTTCAGGTGAAAGAGAATTTCGCTTTCCAGGAAGTAGCCAGCGATCAGACATTGTGTTTGATATATACTGAATATATACAAGATACTAGATTGTTCAATGATGGAAAAGTTTTAAAGAGCACAGCTCTTCCTTTGCCCATGCGAATTTACGAGTGTTTGTTCCATGTGGGATTTTTTTGGCACCGATAAAAATTCGGATTAACAATGTGAAATCGGTAGAAAAGTCCATTTCAATGAACTATGATGACAAGCAGATTTTAGTTTTTGCTAGAACATTTCGCATCTCATACCATAAATACCTGGAAAATTGTGAAATCAAGGTGGGGCCAAAGTTGAACTGCTGAATGAGGCGAATCGCTGCGTGGGTGTAAATCATTTCGATCAGTGTGCACTTGCCGAAAGATACAATGGGCTGGAGCACTTTGAAAACATTCCAATAAATATGTCGAATGATAATTCAAACAACGCATAAAGCATAAAACTGTCCGGTTAATAGCTTATCTGTGAATATTATATGGCATTCCGTTTGCCAAAGATTGTGAAATTGTTTGGGATTTAATTTAAGGGTGTGTATTGAAGGCTAACTATTTGTAGATCTTACCAGTATGTAACTATTTATTTATTTTATTGTATTTTAACATGTGGGATATTTTACTTTTACTTTTACAGTACTTGGCATAATTATTGATATAATATTAATAATATTTAATGCTGTCAAACAAAGCAGGACTAAAACAAATATAACTATAAACAAATTTCTATATTCTTATATTTTCCTGTCGTGCATTGTTTGACAGTATAAAATATTAATAAATATATAATAAAATATTAATAATTATGCCAACTATTCTTTTTATATAAGATACATACAATATTATTAAATATATTTTGAAATAATTTTAAAAATTGGATTTGCTTCGTAAATAAAATATTGTATAATTTTTCATTTATTTACCTTTTATTATGATAATATTTTTATTATTTTATTATCAATATTATATTTAAATTCTGCTCTCAAGCTAAACACAATCTAGCTATTCAATACAATAGCTTCTTACAGCAACTAAAAATAAATATTATTAGCAAATTTAAATTAAAGCTCATTAAATAAAATGGAATACAAATCAATTTGGAATAGATTTCATTTACATTTATGTTTACAAAACATTTTATTGATACTATATCATTCACACATCAGCAAAATAGCCACTTGACCCAACGCATTTGTAAAGGTTTCGGTCAGGTAAATGAACTTTTGGCCAGCTGTGGTTCTGCTCCAACCATGACCACTAAATAGGCCTGAATCGCCAACTGTTTACCTTGGAATTCGCATGCAACTTTCATGTGTAAATAATAAAACCATAAAAGTCAATTTAGAGCCACACAAAAGTGCGCCCCTTATATACAAAATGGGCCCAGCAACCGAATCTACGAAAAATCAAATCAAATCAAATATAGAATACAGAAAAACACAAAAATACACTACATGAAAGGTGCAAAACACTGTTAAGTGGAAAGAAGTTCGCAGTACTTGTAGAAAATAAATACTATAATATTTTTAAAGTAAATTTATAAGCTATAAACTATATATATCTGAAATATATTATATATACACGTTTTATTTTCGATGTATTATACATCGATTGTTAAAATCGTAAAAATTTTTAGTGTACGAAAACGTAAATCCTTTTCAAATCTTATATATTAAACTTTAAATTTTAATAAAATCAAATACTTGGAATACATATCTCTTAAATACTACACCTAAAACCTTAAAAAAATAATTATACAAATTAAATTATTATCCTTACAATATTTTTAACATAGGACGAACTGCTTGTGAAATGTATAGGATACATTTAGGGCAGTGCATTGAAATATTGAAAATCATTTACTGGCGCTGGCTCTCTCTCTTAGTGGCTGGGCCATTAAAAACTTATGGATAGCAAAATTCACGGATAAATTATAATAATT